ATTCAACTGTTTTTCTTTAAATTTGTATTATGCATTTGCTGTTATATGTTACTTCATTTTTATATACAAATATATCTGAAAATTCTATTTTACAATACTTCTGACATTTGTAATTTAGCAAATGCTTCACTCATGTTTAGGGACTCTGGCTTTTCTTTACTCATGTTTTACCTTCAGTGAGCTCTGAAGGATAAGTGGTACATGTGGTTTCTTATCTGCTCTTGTGCCTCTTCATTCTTCTTTCCATCCTTCTCTGCTGTGGTGACTTGATTGCTCCAATGCAACCTAAGGTTTCCCCTTCCCTCTCCATCTGATTAGCATCATTCCACTGATGCTTTCCTTTCTGGTTGGGGGTGGGAGGCAATTATTGATACCTCCACTCTATCTGGGGTCTGGTTTCCAGAGGAATATTCTCTGCTTATTAACATTCTGGTGATATCTGCAGCTTTTGAGGCTTACCAAAATCTGTGGTTGCAATTGTTGGGTCATCTCATGATGAACCATTCCGATACTTCTACAATAATTTGTTACATCAACTGCCAGGGAGGCACCCACTTTTAGGTCCTATACTTTACCTTATTTTTTTTTTATAAAGACCCATATTTTTAAGGACTGCTAGTTACCAAGTGACATTATCCACACAGTCACCTCTTAACCGGCACTGTTCTCTTTCTTTCATCTTCTCTCTTATAACCATTATTATTTAGGCAAATACACCTTTGCCACCTCCTGTGTACTCGATGTTATAAGAAATGGTTGATTTGTTGTATTTTTTACTGAAGACCTGGACTGCCTGGAAGAGTGATTGGATATTTTTCTCTCATATCTTTCTCTTCTATTTTTTCATTATATGATTGTTTCATTCCTGTTCATCTTTTATGTCCAGTTAGGATTGTCCATTGTTATCTCTCTTGCTTAAACTATCCCAAGTTGTGGACACTGTCATTGCTTGTTTTTCCCATAGCTTACCTTATTTTCTAGGAACTTATCCTTTTTACTTTCACTGTTTGAATTTTTCAGCTAATCCAACTGGCATATTCTTCTTTGGGTAAGTGTAAACAAATGCTTTTTTACCCACACCTTCCATCAAATTCAACATATCCCAGCCTTTCTTGCCTTTTTTCAGTGCTAACCTTTGGAAGAGATCTTACAGGCTGGTATGGGTACTATACCTAACACATTTATCTCCCATGACTTTCATCACTTTGAAGTTTCATATTGCCTCTGGTTTTCTCCTCCCTCTGGTCTAAAACAAGCTCTAGTGTGGTGTGTCTTGCTTGTTGATTTTAGCTGCCAGCTCTGTCACTAATCTTACAAGTTTTCCATGACACCGTCTTGTGTGTACCAATCTTTTCATACATATCGAAAAAACAGGAAACAAAACACACCAAAAAAAGAATGAAAAGGACAATTAAAAAAAACACCTATAGAACATATGGAACTAAACACTACATTAATTCTGTTTAGCATCATTGCATCCAACCAAGTGGCTGGCATTGCCTCACAGGTAATACTCACCAGAAATCATATCTCCCCATGTCCTTTTTATTGGATTACAGAAGAACCCTTACTTTGCCAGTCTTAATCTGTTGAGGATGTCAGTGTGGAGAGTTTCCTCTGTAATTGGTGCCTTCACCCTAATAAAAGATCAGTTGGGCCCACCCCTCATTTGAGATGTAGGGCTTTGGTGAAACGTGGAAGTGTAGTAAAGAGTACTCCAATAAAATATCACCCTAGCAGTTTCTGCTGGCTATGTGCAGCCAGAAGGGATGTGGATTTGCCTCGGGAAGCAGATGAGAGCTTCTCCTCCCTCCACCTATCATCATAGTATCTATCTCATATATAGTATGTGACAAACACAGAATGACCTAAAGCTCTAGCCACACTACACATTCTAATGTTCCACTTACCTTGGCAACATGTAACAACCAGTACTGATTTTTCATGATATCCTTTGTTCTACAATCTCAACTATTGGGCAAAGAGTATTCCCTGTTTGAGAAGGATGCAGGCTTCCACTGAATGCTATTTCACTAGGTGACCATTAATTTCATGGATGTCACATCCCACAGGCCTTTCCTTTCATGGTGTTTTAGAAAGAAGCTCATTTTTGTAATTGATCAGCACTGGCCACTTCCACCATCTTTAATGTAGAATTCTAGCTCTTAGAAGATGCTAAGAGGTAAGTAACATTTCTAAAGTTAACATTTTCCTTACCTGAAAGTGTATTTTATATAGATACTTCTCTGTACCACCTCCCTCCTTTCCCCCACACTTTTGGTGCATTTGGTTTGCTTTATCAAGAATGAGCTTATGATCATGTACTAGTGCTCATGGGGATTACTATGCATGGAGGTTGTGTTCCCCTTCTATTGTTGGAGGGCTACAGCATTATGATGATTATATCATAAGTTGGCACAATGCTTGCAGACACATGTATGGTTGGCAATTTGTTCAAGTTTTGTGGCAAGCATAAGAAATTCCACAGCAGTTGCATGTGAAGTAATAGCTCTTACTGGTGTAGAGAGGTAAGTATCTATCTGAATTACATTTTCAACTGAGGAAAACATTAACATTTCCATTAGAAATTAAACATTTAGAATATTGGATGCAACCAGCACTTACACAAGAAAAACAAAAAGTGTCACAATTCACAGCTTTGTTCTCCACTACCAATGGTAGAAAAATTTTTAGTGCATGTAATGTCAGGAGCATTCTCAGTGCTTTGTTGATAATGTGAAGAAATTCTTAAAAGAGTTTTTAATGCATTATTGGATATCTGAGGAAAATTTTCAGTGCATTATAGGCAATGTCAAAAGAATTCTCAGTGCAGTGTATACAAATGAGAACAGAGAGGTGATTTTCTTCTCTACTACATACTGAATAATATGGATGTGGGTTGACTCTGGTGAAATTATTACTGGCAATGTTTCGAGTCTTATCACAAAGCACCAGTGTATTAGCATCTCTTAACTGAGATTGTTAATCTTAAGAATAATTACAAGGTCTGTGCAACGCTTTCTGATGCTGACATCATTTGAATTGTAATTTTTTTTTACTTTCATATATTATACATGAACAGAAGTAATTTATTGTCCTGTTTTATTTGTGGTATCAAGAATGATAGAAAGAAAAATTATTTTGAAATTTTGCACTGGATTTTGAACGAGTTTACCCTTTCCTTTATATTCAGATATTTTTTTCCAAAGAATTTAAGTCTTAAAGTAATTTTCTGTTTGTTTCTTTTTAATTTCCATATTAATATTTGTATTTTTGTTGACCACTTTGCCTACCAGTTATGAATAGATTCTTAAAATAAAAACTTTCAAATAAGGTTTAGTATTTATGTATTTGAAAATGACTGCTAACTTCTGTTTTCATCATACTGTCATCAAGTTTATGTAATTTGACTTTGAAATTGTATGCTACAATAAAGAAAGCTTCCTCTGGTTTGTTCTAAAGTATTTTAAGAAAAATTTTCTTTTCATTCTAGTATCCTTGGCATAAAAACTAACTAGATGTTATAAACTGTTTCATGAAGAATTATCAAATATCTTAAATAAACTTTGTGAAAATGCTTATCCAGACCATTTTTATGATAAAACCATGAACAAAACAGTTACATCCTTAGTCTGTCCTAAAAAATCTTTCACAGGCAAACTTTCATATACTTTGCACAACTAGTTGAAAAATTTGGTAACCAAAAAATGTTCTACGATTTGCCTTAGTATTATTTATGTAATAACACAAGGACAACAAGGGATCATTCCTCACAAAAACACTTCTAAAGTGATAGTCTCTGCTACTGCTGAAGACAATTCATTTCATAAACTAATCACTCTGTTTGAAATATAAAACTATCTCAACTCTAGCCTATCTTTTCCAAATCTTAAGGTTGTGTCCTCTTGTTCTATTGCATTCAGAATTGGGCACAAAGAAATCAAAGGCTTTTATTCTAATAGCCCTTGAGATAATCTTGTCAACTTTGATAAGATAAACTCATACACTTCTATTTTCATGAGAAAATGAGCTATAGTAATTTATCCTCTTAACATAATCCTGTTAACCCTAGAATCATCTTTGTAGTTCTCCTTTGAACCCTTTCCAATCAATTAATATACTTCTTAAATGAGGACACTAAAACTGATAGTAAGTTGTCACGGGTGGATTCAATACAGAAAACAAAATAAGAGAAAACAGTAAAACATTTAATAGAAATAATGAGAAAAATAGAGATGAAAGAGTTAGAAATATACTTAATTGTTTATTGGAATCAGTAGTGCTCATATTCCTGCATAGAAGGGGGGAGGTCTGGACCATCTGTGATCTGTAAAATGTTGTAGATAGCTGTAAAGGATCATTTCTTCTAAAATATTATGATTAATTTAAAGCCCATCACTAGTCTTTGAATGAGCTCTTTTGAACTATATGACTATCAAACTTTATGATATAATCTTAACATCGTAGTTAAACTAAATATTTTCATAGTTTTTTTAAAACTGTAAGTTTGTGTTTATATTTAAGCACATAACACATTTTCTTTTTGTCTGTTAACTTACACTGTAAAAGCTGATCCCCTACATGCATGTCCCCCCCCAAAAAAAAATTCTGTGGGTGCCCATGGATGTTCTTAATGGTAGCAGAAAGTATTGGTTCTTCAAACTTCTCATTACTAATTTACCAGTGCGAGTGACTGGCAAAAATCAAGGATCAGGAATTGGACCTAGATTTCATACTTCAAAAAGTATTCAGCCCCCATCTCATACTTTCTGATATTCCTGCATATGCCAAAACAGATAGTAAGCTATGAAGTAGGTTTAATGATTTTGCATTAACATGTTGATATAAATTACACACTAATACATAGCTTATTGAATGATAATGCTTTAAATATTATTAATTTCTCTATAGTGTGTAACATTTACTGAGGATGTTGAAACTATTTAGGTATAGTTGGCACATACTTTTGAAAGATAACTTTTTGGATTTTTTACACACAGTTGAATGTTAAACGTGCCCAAGAAAGAAGAAAACCACAAGATGTAGTTGATTTAGAAATGCCATTTAATCCAAACCTATTCAACTTTACAAAGGTGAAACAACATGAGGTAAGACACTTGAGATCATGATGTGAACTTGTTCATTTTAAATTGGATATATTTAATACTATTAAACTAAAATTAAGACAGTATAGACTTCACATAAATAAAAAGACATACAAGTTTGAAAGAACTCCAGTTTATTCTGAAAACATATATAGCACTGGCAAAGTATGAATTAGATCAACAATTCAGGGCTGCAATCCTTTTACTGTGCCACTTTCAAACAGATCTATCAGAGATAACCCACATGAGCCCAGTGATTGACCAGACCATGGTGAGTTGTGACTCTCTTTACATCTAGGGGCTATCTTTTTACTTATTTCAATTCTCTGTGTATTAATGTTACAATAAAAGTCATTCTTCAGAATGTTACAACTTGGGTTTATATTTTATTTATTCTCCTTTTATTTTTTAGGTTCTCTTCTCATTAAATCCTAACCAGGTATGTATGTAAATCTTTATTTATTTACACAAAAATGTGTTTTTTCTGTTCTAGTTGTTAATTGATATCAGTTCTTGTACAAGACACAGTCATATTTTATGTCTGTAGTTAAAACTTTCTCGAGGATCAGTTGGTATGTAGAAAAATTTTACTGAAGTCTTGCATTAAAATGCATTTAGTTTACTAATAAGCAAAGTAACATTATTGACTTTAGAAAATTAAAATTTTTATTTTCATATATGCTCTACCCATCTTAATTAGGGTGAAGAAATAGATTGGAGTTTTTGTAAGAGAATGTGTCCATGTGTCCCATACCACATGTTGAATAATGTTTAGTTTTTCTAAGGGGTATTACATGCTCTAGTTTCATTAATTTGTAGTTTCATTAAGTGTGTGTTAAATGTTTCTGTTTGTATGACATATGGTAACTGAATACTGCAGGGTAACACAAAAGAACCTCTTTAGTTGATGACATTATAATACACTGGTGGTGTCCAAAAATTAAGGAACAAACTGTGTGTGTTGAGCACTAACAATTTGTTCCTTAATTTTTGGACAGCATTGTATTATCAGGTGTTGTTTGTAAAATGTTTGAATTCAGGTTCAAGCAAAAATGGACTAGATAATCATTATTATGCAATAAAGCTTATCCTATATTAAAGGTTATTGTATGTTTTAGAACCTAATTTTGGTTGATAAAGGCTGAACTATCCATAACTTCAAAGAAAAAACTGTTCTGTTCAGAAGTATTGAGCTTCTGTTAATCATTCCCAAGTCTCATATTTATAGTTTAATTGTTTAGTTATTAAATCTCCAAGACCATTTCATGGCATGATTTTAGAAAAGTATTTTAAATATAAGGTTTTATTACAAACATGATAATTTATTTTTGAGCATTTCAAGTTCAAAAACTTGATTTTAACTAAGCCTTGTAGTCTCTTTTGGTACCACCTTTTGAAGGAAAACTAAACCTTGTGGTCTCCTTTAGCATCACCTTTTGAAGGGGGAAGTAAGTCTTATGATCTTTAATACAACCTTTTGAGGCAAAGCAGTTCTTTACAGTGACTTAATACAGTATGCTAATTAATTGTGGTGATTAGCTGTAATTTGTACTGAATTTGTTTTTTACTGTGGTTATGTTATGTTTGTTTTCTCTAAATGTGAATGTGTGATCCTTATTTCTATGTTCAGGGCCTCAGAAAAATGAAGTTGTTATTTTTGTTGCTGTTTACCTAGTAATATCATTCACACTAATACTGTATATATATTAGATGATCTGACATTAAACCTTGTAGCTAAACTGAAAATGTCAATACTATTATCTTTTGCAATTCCTATTTCTGTCTGGCTGATAGTTATTGCTATAGCTGGTTACTTTATCAAAGGAGTTTCTCAATGTAAATGCTCATCATTTTTCCAAGTTAAAATTCTCTGTAGATGTAAACAGTAAACTTATAAAAGTCTATAAAAAGTAGCTAATATTGAAAAAATAATGTCCAGTACCTTGTAATTCTTCTGTTGTTCATTATGAAAAAAAAAGTAAGTTAGAAATATGAGACAGGTAATTTTTATACTTTTTTTTTTAATGACTAAAAAGTTTTTGAAAATACAGCAGTTTAAATTAAGCACTTATAAATGAGAGCCTGGTAGTGTGTAATTTTGATTACAGTTCATATGATTGAAGCCAATAAACTTCTTTCAGGAAGCCGAACTGTCTTCTCATCAGGTCATCATCAATGTGAGCCCTTTAGAATACTGCAACTGCCTTCTGGTACCCTTTGTAAACAGCTGTTTACCTCAGGTATGATTTATGTTATTAAGTATCATTTATCTGTAGTTGTCTAGCTGAAGTGTGGTATGCACTACTAAGTACCATTTATCTATAGTTGTTTACATCTGGTATAGTTTGCACTATTAAGTAGTACCATCTATCAACAGTGGTGTAGCTCAAGTATGTAAGCACCATTAAGTACCATTTATTCACAGTTGTCTAACTGAAGTATAGTATGCACTATTAAGCACCATCTATCAGCTGTTTTCTATTTCAAGTATGGTTTTCTCTGATATGGTTCTGATATTGGTTTTCAAACGAGATCCGTAAATCGAGAGATTTCAAATAGTTCGCTCTTCTTCTTCAGGAGAATAAATGGTTCTGATATTGATGATACTATTGGTTTCAAGCTAACAAATTCTGATCTGGATCTTGCATAGTTCATACTATTAGTCACATGCTAGAAAGTTTTGATTGACATGTGTGTGTTAGAATTATTGGTATAATTTTGGTATTTTCTAATAAATGTGTCATAACTGTTGATGTTAAACTGGCAAAATCTAATATAATTATGGCAGATGTTGGTATATCAAGGTAATTATTATGTATCTATTATATAAATTAGAAACTCAAATTACAGATATTGACAACCTAGAATATAAAATAAGAAGGTTTTATCTTTTCTGTTTGCTAAGATATTGCTCACATAATAAATCAAACACAGTGGCACCTCGCCCACCTCTTTCTGTTTTTGGAAATGCTCCCTTATTTACACTTACATCTGTATATTACATGAATAACCAATCAGAAGCTCAGAATGTCTTTCTAACATTCCTTTCGTCATTTTATTTCAACCAAGATTTCAATGAGGTAGGTTGTGTCTTTAATCTGCTCAAAATTTCATATTTTTTTAGACCCAAATAAAGCTTAGTTACTAAGCTTGATAAATTATATTAGAATTCTGTGGTATTGATATAGTAATTTATGATTTTTATAGTTATTAAAATGTATATATAAAACCTTTAAAAATATATTTTGTTTCATATACTCCACGTCTAAAATTTTTAAAGGCTTAGCAACCTACATCAAGCATCAACCAAGTACAAAGGTCATTAACTAGAAGAGATAATTGTTTGCTTTACTTCTTTATTTACTGTTCTTTGTTTTAGGAAAAATAACTTTTAAGAACTTATTTCAAAATAGCAATAATCTATATACACATATAATGTATAATAATTGAAATGTGACTGTATTTTACAAAATACTGGTCGACTAAAAGACAGCCAAGACATGTTACATTGTACAGACCAAAGGTCACCTTTATGTTATTTGATATGGTAACATGAGTGCACATGTGCTGTGTCATTGTAACTTTTGTAATGTTAGCCAGGCATAACTGGGAGGTCAATAGAAGGAAAAAAAAATATATATATATATATGTTATGAGATTTGAGCTAATTAGTCTAAACATTTATGTTTTCGTGTTGTAATTTGTGTTCATTCTAGAATGAAAGAGGTATAATTTATATTTATTTCCTAATTTTTATGGTGGTTGCGAGATCAGTCAAATCTACCGAACCCATACAAAGATTAATTATTGAAAATAACAAATAAAATATAAAGCTTTTTCTTAAGAAATGTTTGATAACTATCTGGCATTATAAAGATTTTGCATGTCAAATTGGAAGTTTTCTGATGCTTAAAAGTATTTTTAATCTTAAAATGAAAATTACTTTGCATGAGAGATAGGCAAAACATGAAAAGAAAAACATTGCTTTACAAACCTTAAGACTTAATAAAAAAATTAGATATTTTACATATGAAAGCTTTGTAATGCTTACTGATAATCTGCCAAATTTTGTTAACATTCACTTACTAACTGAAAAGTTATAGCATGAAAACTATAACAAGCACAAAATGGTTACGAGGTCAGTCCTAGGGACAACCCGTGCTGAGAGAGTTGAGTTAAAGAAAAAGCTTGGTAACTTAAAGTTTTCTTATTTTAATTTAGCTTAGAGGATGGAACAACTGAGATGGACCAATAGGTCCCATTTTGTCTCAAAACATCACTATGTTAGTGTATAATGTACTGTCCTATGTGTAGATATGTACAATAGTGTACGTATAAAATAAAGTAAGTTCTAATCAGCTTTTATAATTGTTTCAATAAATAAATAGTTAAAAATATAAGAAAGATCTTATATACATTCAAGAATACTTGATGAAATATTGTAGCAGTATAGAAGAAAAGACAGGTATTAATCGATACATTTGATAAATCCAGTTAGATCCTGTCTCACATCTTTTCTTGAGAGAAGACATTCCGACAGATCCCAATCTGCTCTTGTTTGACAACCTTTCCATCCTTGTTTACATTCTTTCCAACAGTTCAATATCCTTCTGAAGGTAAGGATTCCAGACTGAACAAAGTACTCTAAATGGGGCTTAACTCATGACATTATAACCTCTTTAGACCTGTATTAAATAATTTTGAGGATGCAACCTAAAATCCTTTTTGCCCTGTCACAGAGCATGGTTTGAATCACTTACAATAGTGTTGAGTAGTTCAATAAACAGATAAAGTTATTCCAGGAGCTGGTTATTAACAGATAGAGATGAATTACACCAGACAGTTCATAAACACAGGTTAGTGGTGAATCCAGCCAGGCACAAATAGATTATCATCTATATGGTATTGTCTGTTTAAGTGGTACTAATAAAAAAAACAAAAAAAAAAAAAAAAACTAGACAAAAAACACTTTTTCTAACTGGTGGGTAAACTATTTATATACCACAACTCAGCATAGTCATTGTCACATTGGTAAAAATTAACATGATTGCATTTACACACTATGTAATTCTGTTACATTGGGTGTCAGTGTGATGATGTGGTTGTGTAACATTGGGTGTCAGTGTGATGTAATTCTGTTACATTGTGTGTCAGCGTGATGATGTAATTCTGTTACATTGGGTGTCAGCGTGATGATGTAGTTCTGTTACATTGGGTGTCAGCGTGATGATGTAGTTCTGTTACATTGTGTGTCAGCATGATGATGTAGTTCTGTTACATTGTGTGTCTGCTTGATGATGTAGTTCTGTTACATTGTGTGTCAGCGTGATTATGTAGTTCTGTTACATTGGGTGTCAGTGTGACAATATAGTTCTGTTGGGTGTCATTGTGATGATGTAGTTGTGTAACATTGGGTGTCAGTGTGATGATGTAATTCTGTTACATTGGGTGTCAGTGTGATGGTTGTAGTTCTGTTACATTGGGTGTCAGTGTGATGATGTAATTCTGTTGGGTATCAGCGTGATGATGTAGTTGTGTAACATTGGGTGTCAGTGTGATGTAATTCTGTTACATTGGTTGTCAGCGTGATGATGTAGTTCTGTTACGTCGGGTGTCAGCGTGATGATGTAGTTCTGTTACATCGGGTGTCAGCGTGATGATGTAGTTCTGTTACATCGGGTACCTGTGTGGTGATGTAGTTCTGTTACATTGGGTGTCAGTGTGGTGATGTAGTTCTGTTACATTGGGTGGTAGTGTGGTGATGTAGTTCTGTTACATTGGGTGGTAGTGTGATGATGTAGTTCTGTTACATTGGGTACCTGTGTGATGATGTAGTTCTGTTACATTGGGTGGTAGTGTGAGGATGTAGTTTTGTAACATTGGGGCCTGTGTGATGATGTAGTTTTGTAACATTGGGTGCCTGTGTGATGATGTAGTTTTGTAACATTGGGTGCCTGTGTGATGATGTAGTTCTGTTACATTGGGTGCCTGTGTGATGATGTAGTTCTGTTACATTGGGTGCCTGTGTGATGGTGTAGTTCTGTTACATTTAGTTGTAGTGTGATGATGTAGTTTGTAACATTGGGTGCCTGTGTGGGGATGTAGTTTTGTAACATTGGGTGCCTGTGTGGGGATGTAGTTTTGTAATATTGGGTGCCTGTGTGAGGATGTAGTTTTGTAACATTGGGTGCCTGTGTGAGGATGTAGTTTTGTAACATTGGGTGCCTGTTTGAGAATGTAGTTTTGTAACATTGGGTGCCTGTGTGATGATGTAGTTTTGTAACATTGGATGCCTGTGTGATGATGTAGTTTTGTAACATTGGATGCCTGTGTGATGATGTAGTTTTGTAACATTGGATGCCTGTGTGATGTAGTTTTGGAACATTGGATGCCTGTGTGATGATGTAGTTCTGTTACATTGGGTGTCAGTGTGATGTAGTTTTGTAGCATTGTAATTATGTCATCTACAACAGCCTCTACTAGCTCGATAAAGAAATGCTGAGTTTTCCACGATTTATTAACATACAAAGATGACTTTACATCCAGTCAAACACCAGTAGAATACCATCTACACGGAACAACCTGTGTAAACAATATTATATAAGAACCATTAATGAAAAACTTCTGTTTCTAACTGAAGTACTTAAATACTGCAACTCAACATATGTTGGTGTCTCATGTTCGTACAAATTAACACGATTGTGCGTCAAAAACCAATTAACAATAAATACCTTCTACAACCAACTTCTACTCAAGTTTAAGTTTAGACAAGGAGGAACTTATCCTTTATATAAGTAATATTTCTGTAATTATAAATGTAACTCAACATAAAGAGTGATTTTACACTTTATTTAAAACCTAAGTACCTAAAGTGTTGGTTGGAGCTGCCAGCCAGTTGTCTTATCTGTAGTCATCAGTTCAAAATTAGTGATAGTGGCAGATAGCATTAGTAGCTGTCATTATACAGACGGGTTGATTACGTTTGGCAGCAGTAAGTACTCCTTACTAATCACTACACCATTCTGGCATAAAACTTAAACTTGGAGTAAGAAAACTTCTAAATGCTAAAGCATGGTTCTCCTTCAAGGTAAAACTTGCTTGATGACAACAACTCGTCATTGTGAACATTAGTTACTTTGTTGTGTCATGGTGTCTTATTTGTCTGAACATAGTCATTTCCACTGTTCTAAATTCACCATTTCCAGTTCCACAAACACATTTTCTCAGCATTTTCCTTGAC